AAGAAAAAAAAAATCATATCATACCAGAAGCCCCAAACTTAATACAAATAAACACAGAGGGCCGATGTAGAACACAGTCGAAAGGCAGGACAACATGTTGCAAGGACTCACCCCTCATGTTAGCATTCATGCCTCCGCCTGCAGATCCGTGGCTGTGACCATGCCCATGGTCACTGTGTCCATGCATATGATGTGAATGGCTGTGATCAGATGAGTGACAGCTTCCTTGAGAAGCTCCATGGGCATGGCTATGGGCATGGCTAAAGGCACAGATACCAATAAGGTTTACTATCAGCCCTCCAACTGAGACTGGCTAGCAAAAGGGAGAAAAAAAAAAATCCTTAAATTAGTAATTAAAAAAAAACTTGTTATTTAAAAGTTACTATACAGCTATATATGTTTTTCTGTTTACAGTTTTGAAAATATTCACAGTAAAACCTTACTGTTTCAGTAAGTCCAAAATTTAAAAAACATGAATTTTAGAACATCTGAGAAGAAACATTTTAACTTTCAAATATCAAGCAAAACTGGTAAGTAGAGGGATTTGGACTTACTTCAATTAAGAATGGTATGTACTTGGTTTGTGGTTTATGTATAAATAAATGATGCAATGTTTTGTTTTGTTTATTTAAATAGAGTTTGAAAGTACTGCTTACTAGGGCAAGCATACACTGTACCTGAAATCTTGTTTATATTACTAGTTAAATTTGAACAGTTTATATGCTGATAATTATAATTTATTAATGAGTGTATTCCAAATATGGTCTTAATATGTCTTAAATATAGTAAAATTTCCAAAGTAAAACAAGTATATGAAAAAGCAAACATAAAATAGTAATTTCTTATTTATTTAAATTAAAAAAATTTTTTTCTTTGGTAGGACAGGGTCTCACTATGTTGCCCAGACTGTCCTCAAACTCCTGGGCTCAAATGATCTTTCTGCCTTGACTTCCAAAAGCGTTGGGATTACAGACATGAGCCACCATGCCTGGCCTCTCATTTTTTTCTTAACAAAGTGAATGAAGTTACCTTAATTTAATGGTGCCACAATAACACTCCAAAGGATAAACAAAGTTACTTATCCTTGATTATCTGCTCTTATCTTGAACAGTAGCTCAGGGTGTTATTTGCCTATGTCTACAATGTAAAGCAATCCATTTGTTTAACAAAAGGAAAATATAAAAGTGAGAAGGAAAAATACTTTTAGTTACACTTCACAAGTAGTAAGAGATTTACTTTAGTAAATGTGTAGGGAGCTTATTTACTTCTTCCTATGATTCAGACCATTTGTCTCCAGATTTTAAAATGTCATTAGGCTTTGTAAGCTTGTAGATGGTTAAAGACTTTGAATGAAACCAAGTACTGCTTACAGAAACTCCATCATCTCATAAGTATTCCTTCTCCCCTACTGAAAAATACTTCATCATTGTGTATTTTATCAGGAAAATAAAAATGCACAAGGTGAAAGTCCCCTATAATTCTACCACTGAGGATTAGTCACTCTTAAAAGGGTGTATTTTCCATCTATGGAAAATACTAACATACATACACATAACACCCTTTAAAATCAATAATGTAATCATAATACTATTTCAAAAATTTTAAAAAAATTTTGAGACAGAGTTTTGCTCTGTCTCCTAGGCTGGAGAGCAGTGGTACGATCTTGGCTCACTGCAATCTCTGCCTCCAGTGTTGAAGCGATTCCCCTGCCTCAGCCTCCCAAGTAGCTGGGACTACAGGTGCCCACCACCACGCCTGGCCTACAACTTGTTTTTCATTAGTACATCTGGTAAATATTTTCATGCCAGTATATATAGATATATCTCATTCTTTTCAGTAGCTCCATAGTATTCTATACATAGATAACAAATTTTATTTAATTACTTTTTTCACTAGTGGACAATGAATTCTTTCCATTTTTTCACTATTATAAATAAGGGTACAATGAATAATGTACTTTTTTTTTTTTTTTTTTTAGAGATAATACCTAATGTATAAGGAATTAATCTTAAAATTGAAATGAATTCCAAGTTTAATTGTTAATGAAATTTCACAACCCTAATTTAACA